AAATATTTCAACATTTTAGCATTTTAAAGCAAATTAGTTTACCAGTCGTGAAGTGAACGTTTGCAAAGGTGAACAACTTGTGTTTCGCGCGCTCATATGACCTTAGCAGTTGCGAGCGCCGTAAAACCCTATACTATACTATACTATACTAAACACACAACACTCCAAACATGATGTACCGTCTATGAGGTGGATTGGGTCGTGTTGTTGCGGAAAATAGAACACGCCTAACAAAGGCCCAATGGGTGTATAGGTAACTGTGTCACTGGGGGAAAGTGTGTCGTAAACTTTCACCCCATTGTCTTGGCTTGGAGAGCGTGAGCCCTCAGTGCGGTGTAATTTTGTAAAAGTCTTCTACCTTTTTACAAGAAGACGGGCGTGAGAACCGGCTTATTCTTTCTGAGCCCCAGCGACATTTGATTGGCTGTTACGTTACTATAGTTGTAAGCGGTGACAACAATTATTGGATAAACAGGAAAGCCGCCAAGCTGATAACTGTGTGTTCATTGTGTGCGATCATAACGGTTTCAATTGCTTATTTCGTTATTTAAGAAACTTTCATTAACTAAGGGATAGAGTTGGGGTGGGGACGGGGTGGGGGTGAGGGGCTCAAGCCCCTAAGTCCTTCACTACCCACCGCCACTGTCACACAGCTCCAGTGTTGTAGTTTAACCCCTTCAATGCCGCAGATAAAAAGACCCCTGTGCTGGGGGAAATCCCATGAACCAAGGCGGCTCAGGGATGACCCCACTCTACCTCCCATAACTTTTTTATTTATGAATATTTCCTCTTGAATTTCTGCACATACATTCTACATTGAATAATGTTTCTATTGACATAATTTTAGGGGGATTTCATTGAGAGATAGAAGGAGAAAAGTTGGAGTTAGTAACATGATGTCAAAAACAACATCACCAAACAGCATAAAACACCCATTCGAGTAATGATAAACTGAGACCAAAAAATGAGGATTACGTGTTGTGTGAGTCTTTCCTACCTTATACAGCACTCGTACATGTAAGTCCATTTGTGTTTACTGCCAATAAATCATTTTTGTGCGGTAAATGTGTTAGATCAAGATCTGATCTTCTCTTTGAGCTAAAATCTGAATCTGACGCTTTCAAATGGGGTGAAAATGATGGTAAACATTAAAGGGAAGGTACCTCAATAAAAATTACAAGATTTTAACAGTAACTTCTCTTATAATTGGTATCAAAACAACCTCAGTCACAGTCCTGTAAATTCTACAGGCCGTAGGCCCGTAAATTCTATGGGCGCGGCAGCGAAGAGGTTAAGTATTTCTCTTTTTCTCTGTTAAGTTACAGCACTCGCAAAACTTTTACCATGATTTTTTTACCCTGGCAGACGGCAGGCCAGGTGGAGATAAGCGCACTGTCCATGGCCTCGCAGGGTGAATAAGGTCTATTGTGGACTAAGTTGACACTGCCGTGACAAATTTTCTTCTGATTACTGACAATACTTTGGGAACCAAACTTTCCAAAGGTCTAAAGCTTTAGGCATATACCGGGTATCTATAATTTCATAAAGATCTTATGGCCTTCATACAGCGACATTACTGTTTGGTCCTTCCACTTTGGTTCTTGGGACTGTCAATCTTTATTATGAAATAGAATTTAGTTAATTTGTTCACTTACTTTGGAGGAAGTTAGAACTGGTTGAGTAGGTGTATTCCTCCTCCTTCTCCCCCCCCCCCCCTTGTGTTTTTTCCTGTGATGAGGGTATTTTTTGCATTTCTGACAGTGGTTTGACCACTAGCTATGACAAAAAGACGTAGATCTAGAAGAGGCACTTTGGTGCAGGCATTGTGAGGATTTTTTTTTTTCAAGCTCTGCCCCTCATTCTTTTACAGATGAGTTTAATTTGCAGAATGGGCATCTTTTTCTTCCCCTTCCGGATACAACAGCATGAAACTTTATGTTTGTACTTCAGAGGAAGCCAATAAAAATAAAAATGAACCTGTTGTAGCAGTCGTCAAGTGAAGAAAACTCTCTGACACAGCCTCTCCGCCCCTTCCCCCCCTTCCCCCATTAAGGAATATGTGTTATGCACTGCCTTTATTCACTTTCCTTTTCTCTACAGTTCAAGATTCAAGGAGAAGTAATTTTGTTGGTTACTATTGGTATAAAAATTTTGAAATTCCCATGTGGAAGTTTCACTCATAAAGGTCACTTGTCAGTTTTTAAAAAAAAGAGCTGGCCCCATCTTGGCAGAACTCAAAATTAATTTGTACCCGAGATTGAAGCCTTTCTTGTCAGTATGAGTATTTACAAGTCAGCATATCTTTGAAAACTGAATACAGCTGCATGTCAGGCAAGGGATGATTCTACATATATGTATGTGTAGATACTTACTTTTCCGATCCAGCGGCCAAATGGTTGTGTAGATAAAACCACCATGTATGTAAAAACCAAATTGTTCTGTAAGATGAAGATCTCATTTCTTACCGTTACTAACTCCCTGGGATTTTGCAGTAGTACAAAAAGATCAGGAAAAGATTGAATTCATTTTGTAGTTTCATGAAGTTAGAGAATGGAGGTAGGCCCATCTATCTTTTTATTCTTCCTGTGTATGAACCATTGCCAGTATGAAGTAGACATGTCTCATGTTGTATTATATATATGCATATTGTATAGTATAGTTTCATTTGATCAAGATAAGAACATGCAAAATTGTTCTTTTGCTGTTTTTCAGCTGCTGAAGGTGTTTTATTCCGTTTGACGCAAGCCATTGAGAACGATTCTGTGGACCAGATATCCGAACTGCTCACTTCAGGACATGTAACGGTGGGTTCCCGTCTTTCGTTTGGCGTACCGATCCTTTTGAAAGCCATTCGCAGTGAGGCTGTGGAGGTTGTGGATTACCTACTGAGGCAAGGAGCAGACCCAGTGTCTTCTGTGGAGTATCTGATGCTCTGTTTGGTTACCAGGAATCGTTTTGTCCTCTTGGACGAGAATTGCAAGACAGCGCTTTTGAAAATGCTGCCTTATTTAAATAACGAGCAACTTGATGAAATGGATTACAGTGGGAAAAGTCTGTTGCTTCGTGCATGCTTTCCACACAATCTGGCAGTCTTTGAATATTTGCTGCAGCGTGGAGTGAAGTTGCGTGGACATGATTGTGATATTCTTTCAGCTCTGATTGATCCTCATGACTGCAGTGAAGCTCAGCGGATTTGTCTAATTAAAACTGTTTTAGATCATCCAGATTCAACTCTCAACATCACAGGCCAGCCTGGCTTGCATTTGTTGTGTAAGTGTCTATTTTACAACAAAATGAAACTGTTTTTCTTACTTCTCAGCAGAGGTGCTGACCCATTTTTATGTACAAGTGAGGGGAACACCCTTATGCATTTTCCTGAAGGTGAAACTTGTGATATCAGAGTGTATAATCAAGGACTTGATGTGGATACCCATAGAATAATGTTACTCTATGACTTGGGACTTGATGTGGATGCCACAAATCATCATGGGTACCAGCCTTTAGAGAATCGAAAGCACTGTTCTTGGGATCTCCTTATTCTTATTGTCCTTGGCAGGCGTGTATCTAGCGAAGATGTTCAAGAACTTAAAGATAACTTTGGTGAAAAAGTGTCTTGGGGGATTCAGGGGATGGTGGAAAAGGGACAATTTGCCTCCACTCAGCTGCAAAGCCTTTGCAGGAGAACTATTCGGAAGAGTCTATCTTCGCATAGCGCTCATGGAGTCAAACATATGATTTGGAGCTTACCTTTGCCTAGACCTCTGAAACTGTATTTGGATGTGCCTTTTTATGTCAAGAGCTTACTCGCCTCTTTTGAAGCCAGGTATTTATAAGACTATCTTCCTTATTTACTCTTGAGATTTATTTTAAACCTTTGTGGTTCCTGTTATCTTTCCTGTGCTTTGTCCCATCGGGTCTCAATAGGATTCATTCCTTCGTTTTTAAAGACCCTTAGTCTGCTCATATGAGTATCATTTCATGTGGAATTGTAGAGTTAAGTTTCTATGAAAAAGTTGATACCCGGTATATTTGTAGATCTGTGGGTGTGTGTCCCCCTTGTGAATGCATGCAACAATCGATTATTTATAGCTTACAAGCCCCATATATACTCATTTGTTGCTGATTGTGAGATTTTATTATGTTCTCTCGGAGTAATGCATTCTTCACATTTGTATTCATAGTGTGTTTTATAAACAGTATTATTATCGGCATCTAATCGTCAGTATTGTCAGCATGATTCCACAATTGCCTCGGTCAGTTCCTAGTGGTTTTTTAGTTGAGATTGTAATTAGAATAAAAGATGATATCAAGAGACATCTTTATTCTTACGTTTACGATGTACAGTTGACTGCGGATGAGTTGATGTTGTCAGGGGAGTGAAAAAAGATAAACTCATTGGCAGTTCAACTTAACTGTTGGGACCTCTAAAGAAGAACAGATACTGGGGCCTAAGAAAAAAATCAGCTCAACCAAAGATCAGCTCAAATGAGTTCAATACAAGTGGAGTTGACTTTGCCTGTAGTATTATTCTGTTTCGTTATTTCCAGCATAGATGTTAATTGAAACATAAAGAGTGCCTATGTCATGGTTCTGAATTGGGCGCTCTCTTTTGTTTTAAGGGGGCTGGTGGGTCAGGTCTAGGGACTCGGGTATGATTTTCACTCACTCTGAGCACTTTTTACTTTTGGTGTTTTCAGATCCCTAATTCAGTCTAGATTTTATTGACACTAGTCGCTGAGTGATTAACATTCATCATCATCAATGCCTTTCACCCCTGGCAGGGTATAGGCCACATACAAGCTACTTCCATTTATCTCTGTCCTGAGCCATCCTTCCAAGCTCGTTCCAAGTGAGCTTCATCTCTCTCATGTCCCTTTCGACGCATCTCCTCCATGTTTCCCGTGGCCTACCCCTGCCTCGTG